TGAGACCCTGTACAAAATACGAGAGAGAGAGAGAGAGAGAGAGAGAGAGAGAGAGAGAGAGAGAGTTAGTTTTTTCTAAACTTTTCGTATTGACCAAATTTATCCTTCTGCAACACTGTATAGGAGAGCCCAGGTTCCTTGTAGTATCTGTAGGTTCGTTCCATCTCTCCTTTCTCCTTCATTTCCTCCTTTTCTTTTCCTTTCTTTCCTTCTTTCCCTCCTTCCTTCTTCCTTGCCTTCCTCTTCCCTCCTTCTCTGTCTCTTTTTTCTTTCTTAACTTTTGTTAATCTTCTGGAACTTGTCTTAAAAAAAAAAAGTATCTCATTGTTTCATTAGAATTTCTTTGATTATTAATAAGGTTACAGCCCTCCCTCCCGCAGCTTACCTATCGAACATTTGTATTTTCTCTTGGTAAACCGCCTTTTGGCAATTTTCCAGATGGGATGTTTATCCTTTTAAAAGCTTGCTCTTCCATTTGTGTCAATCTCACTGGGTGGTGCTTGTTTGCAGGAACAGCTTGCGGGTGCTTTTCCGGACTGAGATGATAGATGCTACCTGGGTAGGAAAGAGTCGCTGTGTTTCCTGAAGCCCACAGCTCAGGGCAGCATTAGTATTCGCAGTGGGAGCTTGACTGTGGGGTGAGCGCTTGTGGGTGTTGGGGGCCCAGGCAGGGCCGAGGAGAGACAGTTATGGGTCACTTCATTTTCTCCAGCCCCTACCGCCCACAGGTGAAAGCAGCATCACTCTTGCCCTGGCTCGTGCTTGGGAAGATCTTCTGAGCCCGGGTCTGGAGGATTTCTTACCACATCACGCTGACTGCTGCATTTATTTGTGGAAGGTAAATAAAACCTAAATAATCAAAAGTAACAATTAAACGTTCTTCTTTCTTTTCTAATATCCTATAGCATGAAGGCCCAGGACCAGGTCACTATAACTTGAAAACACCTCCAGTACCTTCTGTTACTTCTTGTTTTCAATCCAGGGTACCCCGGCTTTTGCCCAGCTTTTCAGTAAGTATTATAAAGGACAGACCTCCCTCCTCCCCCAGGAGCTTCAGTGTGGGCCCGAGGCTCCTGGGAAGAGGGGGCAGGGTGGGATGGGGGACTGCAGTGTCATTTCTGCTGAGGCAGATGTACCAGCTTCAGAGCCAGGCTGGCTCGAGTCCCCGAGACCACACTGACTCGTGGGGCAGTCAAGAACCGTTGTGATGGTGACCAGCTGCCTGCCTGCGCTCTGACCTGGATGCTCTCAGGGGGTGTAAGCAGCCCCTTCACGGGCTGACCTGGGCTGTGTAGGTCACCATCTTTAGCCTCCAGAGCCAAGCGTCTGTGTGGCTTCTGAGAGCCCAAGAAGCAGAGAGCTGAAGCAGAAAGAGCCGCCTGGAACCAAATGGGCCCACAGAGGTGGAGCAACTGAGGGTGAGAAGAAGACAGAAGCCCAGAGCCACAGACAGCTGTGAAGAAAATGGATTCAGAGCCTCAAAAGCTCCAAGAAGACCACAAAAATGACATGGCACTTGCTAATGGTGGTATTTAAAAAATATTTTTCAGTGCTGAAAAACCACTTTCATTTGCTTGACGGCCTCATTGCCCTGCCCCAGAGCTGCTGGGCGTCAGAGATGGGGCACTGCCCCTGTGTGGAGGCCCCGTCAATAAACGTGTAGGTAGACTGACAAGAGGCAGGGGCTCCCCGCACCTCCGGGACAGCACTAGGACCCAGAAACAGCCGTTGGTCAGAGCCCACAGCTGGAGCACTCTCAGGAAGACTGAGCCATGCTGGCCAAACCCCAGCACGCTGAGCAAAACTCGGAACAGTAGTGCTGACCATAAGCATCCACGACCAGCCTGGTCTTCTGGGCTGCTGTCCAGCCTTATGGGAATTGTCCTGGAAGCCCAAGGACAAGCCAGCTGTTTGGTGACAGTGCAATGAGGGCTGCAGGCCCACGCTGGCTGGAGCTTCTAGAGGAGGCTGAGCCACACTCAGCAGCCTTGTGTCTGGCGGTCTTGCTGGTGCAGGAGCCCTGACGCTCCTCGGCTGTGCTCTGGCCTTCCGGGATCTGCATACCAGCTACGCCCTCAAGAGCAGTGCCAACGAAGGGCCCTGCTCCCTTGATGTGTGGCCAGGACTTGATTAGATTGCTGGACTGCACCTCTGCTTTTGGTAAGGGAAACAGCTCGTTGCTCAAGCAGCATCTGTAGGCAGCCCTCTGTCCCCGTCTGTGCACGGGAGGGTGGAACTGACAGGCCGTGGTCACAGTGAGCAGTGGTGCTCGTGGGGGCAGACACGTGCAGGGCCAGCTGCTAGCCTGGCACAGCCTGTCTGTTTCAGAGAGCGCAGTGAGCTCAGAGCCTCTCGCCAGGCAAGTACCCTGCGCAGACCAGTGGCCCAGAATCACACAGTCCGCCAGTGGTGGGAGGAGGGATCGAAGTCAGACCTGTTGGACTCTGGGTTGTTTTTTTTTTTTTGGTGGAACCGGGGATTGAACTCAGGCCCTTGTACTTGCCAGGCAAGCACTTACCCTACTGAGCTATCTCCCCGGCCCCTAAAGGAGACTTTTAAAAATTTATTTTATTTTATTTTATGTTAGGGAAGTATCTACAAGGTGTTCAGGGTCTTACTACTAGATTGGACTCATAGTGATCTGCCTGTTTACAGTGATCCACCTGTTTACAGCCTCCCAAGTGCTGGGACTATAGGTGCATGCCACTACACCCAGTCTCAATTATCTTCTCAGTGCACCCAGGGGATGGGGTCAGCAGGTAGGCCTGGGGATCGAACCCCCCGTGCCCCTGCACCTGCTTGCAGGTGCTTTAATCCGCTGAGCTATTTGGCTGACCCTCTTGTTGAACTCTGAAACTCTTGTCCTTTTTGTTTGTTTGTTTTTTGAGACTTGTTCCGTAGTTCAGGCTGGCCTTGAGCTCATATGTAGCCAAGGCTGGCCTCAAACTTGTGGCAATCCTCCTGCCTCAGCCTCCTGAGTGCTGGGATTGGAGGTGTGCTCCATCACAGCAGGCCTTGGACGCACATTCATTAGTGAGCAGCTTTTCTAAATCCGGAGAAAAATACAGCACGAATGCTGTGGCCCTGAGGTCACAGAGCCTAGCCAGAGACTCGGGATATCCAGGAAGCTGGCAGTCCCAGGTACCCCCACCCTCAGCCACCCGAGTACTGGGACGACAGGCATGCACCATGCCCCCAGCTGGAACCACTTGTCCTTAATTGCAACACCACTGTCTCTTTGAGAGGTACAAGATAAAAATCCTTTGTGGGGTGGCCAGATAGCTCAGGGACTAAAGCATCCCCGGGGCACGCTGAGACTGAGTAATCACAGCTTTTGGGAGGCTGAAAACAGGAGGATCACTATGAGTCCAATCTGTGTAGTAAGACGCTATAGACACTGTACTAAATACGTTTTAAAAGATCCCTTTGTGTTTCAAGACTGTATGCACACCCCCAATGTGGGAAAGGCCCACCCCAGAAACCAGCCCGAGTCTATGGGCAGGGCCTTCACTTGTACTTAGTGCTACGGGAGAGACTTGGTTTACATTAATTGACAAAATGTTTGGTAAAAGGACTTCATCAAAATGAAGGTGTGATGGCTTGAGAACTTGTGGGTCTTTTGAGAATACTCTGACCCCGGGGCCCACAGACTGGGTTGAGAAACGTAGTGCTTTATCACACGGGGTCAGGGACAGAGTTTAGGAGGCAGGCACTGTCCCCACCCTGCAGTACAAAGAATTGATCCCAGGGCCTTGTGCACCTAGGCATGTGCTCTACCCCCCACTCACACCCCTCGCTATGATTCTACTGAGCTATCTCCCCAGCCCCTTTTTATTTTTTTTTATATTTTATCTATTATTTGTTTATTTTTGTATTACTGGGATTGAACCCAGGGTCTTGGCAATGAACTATATCCCCCGCTTGTTTCATTTCTATTTTGAGATGTGGCTCTGGTCAGTGGCCCAGCCCGGGCTGGCCTTCCTGAGCCTTCTGCCTCAGCCTCCGGCTTCAGCCTCCCAAGCAGCTGGCTCACAGGCAAGGTCTGTGCCCTGCCACCAGGGTGTCAGCCCATCCAGGTTTGGAATCCAGTCTTGCTAGCCCGGCCACTAGACAAGGTCACTGGAGGGGAGGCAGGTGGCATACTGGGGACAGGGAGACAGCATCCCCTGAGGTGCTGGTGGAGTGCCCCTGCTTCCCCAAGCGGTGCCAGGTGGGTTCCCTTGTCTCAGCACCTTCCTAATCTCATGCTGCCTCCAACAGCAGCCACCTCAGCTCCCTGGTTGCCCCCCAGTATGAGGCCCCCCACTAGTGTGGCCCTTGACCCCCTCCAGAGGATCCATCTGTCAGCCACATCATGCGCAGCAGCCAAAGTCAGGGTTATGACTTTTGTGTCACCATCTCATCTGTCCCTGTTTTCAGAAAACCCCCGGCCCGGGAGCGTACGAGGCTTCCAGGCAGTTCCCGAAGCAGTCCCCGACCATCGCCAGAATGGGCCGCGAGCATAGCCTCTTCTTCAACAACACGATCGGCTTCTAAAATAAAGCAGTTGAGCCAGGGAGAGAGCTAGGGGCAGAAGCACCTGCCTGGCAAGTGGAAGGTCCTGCGCTCGGTCCCTGGTACCAAGAAATAAAATAAAGCAATCGTCACCAGTCTACTTGGGTTACAGTGAGCTCTTAGATTACAAAACTGTACTAGACTATTCCTTCCTTACAGGAAGGCTTCCAGTTCTCTTCAGAGGCTTCCTTGGGTCCTTGGCCTTAAACCAAGGCCACATAGAGCCTACCAGGTTCCCAAAGGTGGCACTTTCCCTGAAAAGAGCTGTGTGACTCTCCCAGTGAGTGCAGTCGTGTGCTGAACGGTGACTTTCTGCTCAGTGACAGACCACACACCCAAGGGTGAGAGAGAGCAGAAACAGTCCGATTGCCTAGTGACTTGGTAGCCTGAGGCATTCACCCAAGGAGTAGACCTTGCTGCACCTCCAGGGCCGGGGCAGTGTGGCCCATGGTGTTGGATGGTGCCCTTCAGGGGCTGCTGCCAAAATTTCCTGCACTAGCCTGGGTTTTTCTCTCCCTTCCTGACCTAGCTGGCTGTGTACTGTGTATCCTTTCTATCTTTCTTTTTGGCACTGAGGACAAAACCAAGGACCTCCTGCTTGCTCCTCCTCCTACATACAAAAGCCATGCTTGCTGTGGAACAGTGTATTGTGTTCCCCCGGTGACAGCCACCTGCGTCTCGTGTCCATCACACTGTCTCATTCCGCGATTGGTTTAATACTGTGTGGCTTTGTTCGCACTGCCTCAAGAAGCAACCAGCTCTGCCACATATTGTACCTGCCACGGAGCCAAGGTATGTAGCAGGTACTGCCATCTGGCTTTGAGTCTGCGCAAACAGCAAAATCCACCGATGCCTCATTCTGAGCATGTCCCCATTGGTAAGTGACACGTGACTGTGCTTCTGATTTCAAGTCGAGGAACATGCACAAGGAGCTGCGCTGGTTTGGGGACCAGGAATGGGAAACATCACTGAGGCTGGGACGGAGTTTGGGGAGGGTTCAAGCCCTGAGAGGGGAGCTCAGAAAGCAGAGAAGGCTGTATCACGAAGCTGCTGCAGGTCACAGAGCTCCGGGATGTCCTCATATGGGTGACAGCTCAGGCAGCTGCTGGGTCCCTGTGGCCAGGACATAGTGAGCGCTGTGACCCTGGGTACATGCGGCACAGGGTAGTGCAGCTGGCACCTAGCAAAGAGACCTGGAGGCTGAGGCCAGCCGAGGGGAGGGAGGAGGCCAGGTAACCACAGCCACCTGGACAGAGGCCCAAGGCAAGAATAAACATTTGTTGGGGGGGCAGAGGGAGCCTCGGCCAACCCATTCAGGGGCGTGAGTAGGGACATGGGAGGTTGCAAGGCCACTGAGGCCATTGGAGCCCAGCTGACCCAGAGCCTCCCACACTGGGAGGAGCTTTCTGGCCCGGGAAAGCCTAAAGCTTTCTGGCAGGGGCGCAGGGTGGGAGGTGGAGCAGGTTTAGAGCCATTAATGAATACCCAGAGGAACTATTTTAACAAATGTTTGTATTTTATCGGAAAAAATGCTCATGTCTCTTCCTTAGACTTACCAGCACTTATAAATTGGGCACTGGCCGGAGCAGGGTGGCTGCCACCCCCCCATGTCATCCAGTTTTGTGACTGTGTTGCCCGGGGCATGGGGAACAGCCCTGTGCAGCACTCTCCCTGCCCCGGCCCCAGGCGACACCCCTGCCAGGTGTGGATCAGAGCAGGCTGGGCAGATGGTTTCAAATCTCATTCTCAAGGGAGCCAAAGTTTCTGCACAGCTGGAAAGTGATGCCTGGAGGGGCTGATGGAGGAGGGTGCTCTAGGAGGAGGTTCTGGGGACACCTGGTGCTGGACACATTGTGGAGTGGGAAAGGCAGGAGGGGGTCATGTGGGCCTGCATCCAGGGTGGTAGATGGGAAGTGACAGCCTCTGCTCAGCCTAGCAAGGGGAAGCAGGGTTCTGAGGTCAGCACAGTATTTGGGGGCCTCACAGAGTGAAATGGGGTCCAGTAGGGACCCTCCCCCGCGATGCCTGCTCAGTGCCCCTTTCTGTTTTCTTCTGGTATTGAGCACCTCCCTGGCTGGGTCCAGTTTCAGATTCTCAGAGAAGGAAACCTAGTGGCCAGCTGGGTCAGGTATCCTGGGGCAGACATGGTTGCAGGGCCCACCTGTGATCAGGGTATAACTGGGGTGGGGCAGCTCCCTAGGGTCCCCGGAGTGAAGACCCTTTTACCACAAGGAAGGGACGTGAGCAGTCTGCCCAAACAGACCTCCTGTAGCAGGGCCCCCGGGGGCATTCTGTGGGACCGGCTGGTAGGCCTTGACGGGGGCATTCTGTGGGACCGGCTGGTAGGCCTTGACGTCTGTGCCCAGCCCAGGACTTCGCTAGGCTTTGCCTGGGATTCCTTTCTGGAGCTGGGCACCTACACTCACACCGGGCTTTCCCCTTAGTCCAGCCCTGTTTTATTATTTGGGATTAGGTGACCGAGACGTTGGTGCCAGGGTTGGCAGAGAGCCTCTCAGAGCCGGTGGTGTGTGGAGCACTTCCTGCTCCACTGCACTGAGTTGCCCTCAGCTTGGGGGAAGCCTCACCAGGGAGACCAGAGGGACTCCGAACAGCTTTGCCCTCACGAGCCCAGCGCTGGGACAGTAACTCCACGACAGAGGAGGACAACTGGTGAGGCCTGAGCTGACCTGAACTTGAGTTCTGAGACTGAAACGAAAGCAGCTAGCACGGGTACATGCCAAATGACACATCCGAGAGGACCTGGAAGGGACACAGAGCACTACCCCTGAAAGGGACTAGCACGGCCCCTGCCCACCTAAGTCCCTGACATATTTCCCTTGGGGTCTCAGACACGCAGCTCCATTCCCCTTCCACAAGAGCTGAGGCGACACTGGCTTCTTAGGGCCCTGCCCTGAGTCCCCCACACAACCCCCAGCCACCCATGAGCCGCTCCCTGGATTTGGCTCCAACCCAAGGGAATGCCTGTTCCTGGCCGCACAGTCTCTCGTGCTGTTTCCATGTGAGTTTTCTTGGAGTCTGAGCACATCAAGCCACCACGCTGGTGGCGACAGCTTGTCCTCCTCCTCCCTCCCTCCTCTTTCCGTCCTTTCCCACCCTCACCTCCTCTCTGCTGCTTCCAGACTCAGAGGCTGGGTGTAGACACAGGCGTCAGGACGGAGGGCCACAGCTTGCTTGGTGACTGGCCGTCTCCAGTGTCATCTCTCAGCACGCTTCCACCATCTACCACCGCACAGAGCTACCTGTCTCGGGCTCACAGGCTTAGAATTCTTTTAAAAGCCTATTATTTTCAAAATTCAACAAGTTAAAAATCGGTGGCTCCTTTGTCTTTTCATTGTGACAAAACCCACAGGCAGTTTAGCAGCTCCACCATTTTAAAGTTTACAGTTCAGAGGTGTTGGGTAGCTTCATAATATTGTGCCATTCCACCACCCTCATCTCTGAAACGCTCTCCATCCTGTAAACCTGAAGCTCTGTCCCCAGCCTCTGGTGGCCACCATTCTACTACCTGTAACTTCCTGTCTCTGAGTAGCTCACGGAAGTGGAATCTCACAGATATGTAGAGATCTGGGACCACTGGGTAGCTCCACCTTTGGGTTTTCCATGGAAGCTGTGAAGCAGGGCTGGGAAAGAGCTCGGCGGCATAAGTGCCTGCCTGGCAAGCGCGAGGTCTTGAGTGTGAGCTCCAGTACCAAAAGAAAAAACAACAGCAGCAAATCAAAACTATAATAGCTGAAACATTTCACATTCCCAGTCTTGGTGTACAGGGGTCCCAGTGTCCCCACATCCTCACCAGCACCATGACTGTTTCGGGTGGTAGCCAGTCTCCACCCTAAGGAGAGGGGTCGCCTCATCTGATTTGTACCTCCCGTGCTGAGTGTAGGCCGTCCTGGCCTCTGCGCGTCTTCCACAGAGGACGTCTGCCCATGCCCCTTGCCCACTCTTTAATCCATGCGCGTCATAAGGCTGAGTTTTAGGAGTTCGGGGCATATTCTGGGGGCCTGCCTCTTATCAGATGTGCGGCGTATGATGTGTGTGGCATGGTCTGCGAATACTTGCTCCCACTTCTCTGGGTGTGTTTTACACTGCTGATAGTGCCATTAGCTGAATGCAGCTTATTTTCATTTTTTTTTTGTATTTTAGAGAAGGGTCTACAGGGTGTTCAGGGTCTCACTACTAGATCGGACTTGGAGTGATCCACCTGTTCACAGACTCCCAAGAGCCCAGGTGTATGCACGTGGGGCCCAGTTCAGGAAGCTGTAGTGGCCCCAGAGCCCTAACAAAGGATGAGAATCCTAGATGGGGATGTGGAGGGCATGGGGAGCTTTGGCAAGGTGTGCAGACAGCGTCTCTTAGGGCAGGCGGGCAGGGGTGAGTTTCAGCAGGAGTTCTAGAAAGATGTCTTGCAGGGTATGGCGTGGATATGGGAAGCCATGGCTTTGTGAAGCCACAGGAAACCTGGTGACCTTAAAGCCGGAGAGAGGGGCTGGGGAGTTGGCTCAGTGGCATAAATGCCTGCCTAGCAAGCATAGGGTTCTGAGTTCAATCCCTGGTGATAGGGAAAGAAAAAAAAAAAGCAGAAGGGAGGAGAAAGAGGAGGGAGGCCAGCCCCAAATGTGCAGTGCTCAGCTCAGACAGAAGGTGCCTGGTGGAGAGGAGAGAAGGGAAGTCATGCCCAGTGCAACACAGCCAGCCTCCTGGGGGCCTGTGTGTGCCCGGCAGCTCTAGGCCTCCCAGGGGGCGGGTTAGTGATGTGTGGACTCCTGAGGTGATGCCAGGCCTGGCACGAGCAGGAGAGAGGGGCTTGCAGTTGCCCCTGGAGCCACGCTGTGACCTCCTGTGGTGCCGGTGCTACCTCTCCGGGCCCGTGTCCCGTGCCCGCCCAATTCCCACCACTGTATAGAACCTCTGCCTGGAGGCCTGTGCCAGGGGCTCAATGGTGGTGCAAGGGTTGGATGTCGCCGCCCCTGAGCCCAGGCAGGCTGTGGAGCTGGAGCGCCGTCAGGACAGAACGGCACGGAGGCCCTGTCTCTGCCGTTGGAAGCCTGCAGCTATCTCTGGATCCCAGAGCTCTGGCTTGCAGAGATGCGCCCACTTGTTTTGCTTCTTACCTCCCAGCTCCCAGCGGCTGCTCTCCATTGCCTCCCCTGCTCATGGCTTCTGCTGAGCCTCTGCTCCCCATCCCAGTGGCTTCCCTCCTCCTCTGTTGCCCCATTATATCTCTTCAGCCGCCAGCAATGGGGCTGCTTCGAAAGGCAGAAAGGAGAAACTGTCCAGATTAAAGGAGACAAAAGAGACTCACAGCTAAGCGAACCATGGGATCCTGGCTGCAGGAAAACAGTGCCATAAAGGCTGCCAGGGACCAGTTAGTGGGAGGACAGATGGAAGAGCTCGCCAAGAGCATCACTTCAGAGTTAAATTCCTTACCGGTTAACTGTGCCATGGTTGGTTGTAAGAGCAACCTCTGCTCTTGGTGAAGCACTGACGCCTTACGGGGTACAGGGCCTGCCTTATGCACATTCCCAAATGGTTTGGAAGCAAAGAACATGTGCTAAAGAAATCCATGGGATGACTTCCAGCCAACTCCAAAGAGAGTCAGGAAGACAGCGGGCTCAGCCCCCAGCTGTGGTGGCATCCCGTGTGGGGGCGGCCCAGGTGTCTCCTCGGCTGTGAGCCAGCGTGAAATGAAACACGCGGTGGTTCTGGAATCCACCATGGCGCTGTTAGCCCGGCCAGGGCGCCAGCATCCACAGTGCCCCTGCTCAGGCTTCCTCCAAGAGCAAACGGCAGTGGTCTTTGTCTCTGCCCCCAGAACTGGTGAGCTGGTGCTCTGCTTGAGAAGGTGGCAGTGGACGAAGCGCATGCCAAGTTAGCGGTGAGTGGAGGCACCATGAGCTTGTCATCTTCCTCGGGAACACCGACCTCCTGACGGGCCACCAGAGGAGTGGGCAGCAACATGCACTGTGAGCCAAACGCCACGCTGGGTGGGCCAGCAGCTCCAGGCTAGTCACTGTGATCTTCATTGCAGGGCACAGGCCAGGCCAGGAGCCCCCAGGGATACCCCATAAGGCAGGGAGGGAGAAGGAAGGGTGTTTAAGGGGTGTGGTCTGCAGAGAAGGGGTGGGGCAGGAAGGTCGTGGCTGCTACCTTCCCAGAACTCCATTCTGCGTCCCAATTGTGGGACTGAAGCAGGGCAACACTCTCCAAGGGAAGTCAGTGGACAGGTTGCCCAGGGACCCATGCAAAGCTGAGCGGGGCCAGGTGGATCCTTTTACTCAATAATAAGCCCAGGGGCCAGGTGTGGTGGCGCACACTTATGATCTGAGCTACTTGGGTGGCTGAGGCAAGAGGATTGCAAGCTTAAGACCAGCCTGGGCAACTTCCTGAGAATCTGTCTCAAGATAAATGAAAAGGGTAGGGTGTGCAGTTCAGTGGCCGAGCGCTTGCTCATCATGTCTGAGGGCCTGGGTCCATCCGCTCAGTACCTCCCACACCTCAATTGCTCAGAGGGGAATGGCCACAGTGCTGCAGGTGGTCAGTCGGCGGGCAAGGTTGCAGAGCCAGAGTGGCACTGACCAGAGACCTAGGACAACATCTGAGTGAGCAAAGCCACAGCAGGGAGAGCAGGACACTGCAGGCAAAGGAGACAAGAAATTGCTTGCACGTGTTGAGCTTTTACAATGGCCAGGCACTGCTCTAGGATTCTAGCATGTTTTTCTCATAAAAATCATAACCCACAAAGCAGACACCATTCTGTCATTCTTTTTATAGATGAGAAAGAGGCAGAGAAGAGGTTAAGCGAGTGCTCAAAGCCACACAGCCGGTCTGGTAGAGCTGGGCCTTCCGGCTCCTGCAGCGACTGTGGTATCACTCTGCTGTCCCCGTCGAGACATGTGGGCGTTTTCTGTGGTTATCTTGGCCAGGCCTGAGCTGAGCTGCTGCTCTAGCAATCTGGGGAGCTTCTTATCCTCCTGTGGTTTACTTTCAGTAAAGGGTCTCTGGTTTTTGTTTTTTTTTTTCAACAAAAGGCAGCTGTTTAAAATTTGAGAGACTGAGCGTGGTGATGTGCCTGTAATCCCAGCTCTTGGGAGGCTGTAAACAGGCGGATCACTATGAGTCGGACCTAGTAGTGAGACCCTGAACACCCTGTAGACCCTTCCCTAAAATACAATCAATCAATCAATCAATCAATCAATCAATCAATCAATCGAAGGGGACAGGCAGGACCCTCCCTGGCCTCCCACTTCCACGGCTGGGCTCTTGGGTGGCTCAAGTGAGGCCCCCGGGGCTGCGGGCTGTCATCAGTCACTGGCAACATGCGCTGGGCGAGCAGGAGGCTGGGTTAGCTGGAAGCTTCCCAAGGCCAAGAAGTATCAGTGGTGACGACAGCTGGGTGGGGGTGGGGGACAGGGCAACAATGAGTGCTTTGGTACCAGAAGGAGTTTGGGTGGTGGTGGCTGAAATTCCATTCATATTTCTGCCTGCAGATAAACGCCACTGCTGCCCACATGCACAGTGCGGGGCGTGCCCTGGAGGCCCAGGGAGGTGACAGAGCAGCCCTGTCTTGTCCCTAGACCCAGGAATTCTACGTGGAGCTGGCTCCCTGCTCCCTGCTGCCACTTCATGCATGAGCCTTGGATCTGCAGATGGAAATGGGGTCAGGACGTGCTTGGGCTCAGCACTCTCCGCTGCTTGCCTTTCCTTGGTCTGCTCAAGGTCAGCTGGCCCCAACCCCTTGCCCACCAGGAGCAGGAAGGCTGAGCTTCCACATTCAGCGGTGCCTCAGGGTGTGGGGCTGCAGCAGCAGGTGATCTCCTGGGGCTCACAAAAAACAGAACTTGTCATACTTCAGTCGCTGTAAATAGTGGATGCACAGACACGTGTGCTAGTATGAGGTAGGACTTCTCTATGCAGGCAAGCTGCTATGGGCTTCCAGAGAGGGGCCATACGGATGTGACCTGAACCCCAACAGGGGCTTCTCTGGGGCTGATGTGCTCCAGTGGCAATGCCCGAGGTCACCTCCTGTTTGGACAGTGAGTCATGCATGGGTGTCCTTCCACACTGCTCTGCAGGCAGCTGAAGGCCACAGCCAGTGCTGCCCAGAGCCCCCTGCCATCTCCCGCTGGACTCCAGGCCTCGCCCTCCACTGGGCAATGTCTTCCAGCAGAACTCTGAGTTCAGAGTGCCTAGCTCTCTGCTTCCACTGGCTGGGGCTTGGGTCTGGGCCCTCTCAGCCTCTCCACAGCCAGCTCAGGACAGAACGAATGAACACGCTGCTCAAGAGTGCTGTTTCCCCCTCCGGGGTCTCTTTATTCAGTCTGAAGATCATGGTCAGCAATGTGGCCCAACCCCTGGGGCTCCACAGAGTGAGTGGCAAGTGGCTCACGCTTTATGCCTTTCCTCCCCAGAACTGACTCCCAACAGCACTGAGCACCCCAAGGCGATAAGAGCATTTGCATTCTTTGTCCTGAGAGAATTTCAGAAAAATATAGATCTCTATCAAATATATATATATATATTTATATATCCACATATGCAGGATCCTTTACCCAAGAGGCAAAGGACAGTGCCCACTGCTGCGGTGGCCAGGGGAGCCAGCTCTCAGGCGAGAGACCTCGATACTGCAGGTCTTCCCACCGCCGTCGGCCTCTGAGGGAGCAGTCACAGTGCAGCGGCCAGGCCAGGCCTTCTCCCACTCCAAGTGAGCTCTTGGACTAAGTCAAACCAGAGGGGAGCTTTCCGCCAGGCTCTAGGAACTGACTCCTGGGGTCAGGAGTCTAAGTGTGGGGTAGTAGGTGGCGGTGGATAGGGAACATGGTCGACCCCATGGCCTGCTCAAGCCTAGAGAGGGGGCTGCTTGGTAGTCACCAATCACAGCTCCTGAGCCCCATGAGGCCCAGTTCACCCCAAAACCCCAAGGTTTTGGGGATAGTCCTAGGGGCTGTCCTCTCCAAGTTATCAGCGCCAGAGGGACCTGCCTTTAGGAAAGGGCTTGAAGGAGTGGACTTAGGCATTGGAAATGGCTGTGTCCAGAGCTGCTTTTGTATCCTGTGGCCTTTAGGGACCACCAGCCTAGGGCCTGTGGAGACCAGTGGTGTGGATCCTCTGTAGGTGGATCAGGCAGGGGCAAAGGGAAGTATTAAGGCCAATGTCCAGTGCCCCTGGCTAGACAGCAGAGGCCCAAAGATACTTGGTGGCAGACTAGAAGGGTACCAGGGCTCCACTGGCCTCTAGACACACGGGTGGGGCGAGGCGAGGCATCACTGGTGATTACAGAGCTGAGAGGAACCTGGGGTGCACTGCTTTCCCTGAGCCAGTAGCGTGCTGAGCAGGACCTAGGGGACGGCAGAGTGGGGCCCCAGCGCCCAGGGCTGGGGGTGGGCAGCCGTAAACCCATCAGCAACACAACAGCCACAAGGCAGTCACTGGGGGTCCAAGCAGTCTGCCTCCCAAGGCCCTGGGAAAGAATGGGGGAAAGCTCGAGTTGGCCAAGGGTGGTTCGTGGGGCTCATCTCTTCTGGGGCAGTGGCTCTGGACTAGAATCTATCCAAAGCCAGGAGACCCAGGTGTCAGGGATGCCAAGGGAGGGGCTTGGGGCCAGGTACCTAAGACACACAGACCTTGGCGCATCACCCTTGCCCACAAACTCCATAGCGCTCAAGTCCCAGGGAGCAAGGAATGTGCTTTGGTGTAAATCCTGTCCACCCCACTCCAGAGGACAGGTGCAGGCAGGGAGGGCCTGGAGAGGGGAGAACTGGCCGCAGCTTGCAGGAGAGGTCATGCCTGCTGCACTTGAGGCCCATGTCTGAATGCTGTTGCCCCCACCCACTGCTTCAGGGGCTCAGAGCTCCCTGGGGATGATGCAGAAGGGCACCACGGGGCTGCTGGCCTCTAGCTCCAGGGCGGTGAGGAAGCAGTCGGCGGCAGCCTCGGCCTGGCCCTGGGCCTGCAGCACCTCGCCCAGGCCCTGCCAGGCCTCATGGCACGTGCTCTGCCTCTCCACGGCATCCCGTAGCACCTTCTGTGCCAGGCTCTTGTGGCCCAGCTGGCTCAGCATCAGACCCTGAGGACCAAGCAAAGGGCAGGGTTAACGTGGGCACCCTTGGACAGAGCACCCCAGTAACTGGGGCCAGGAACAGGTGGCTCGCCGGCTGCCACTAGCCAGAGGCCCTGTGTCCTGTTTGATGCTGTCAAGCTTTTACTTAAACAAGGGCTGTCTGTCCCCTCCTCAGCCTGCTTCTTTGCCAGCCTCCCAGACTGCTCCCAACAGACTCTGCTCCTCCTAGCTCAATGGACCAGGCTTCCAGGTCCACATTCTGCTTTTAGCTTGTTCATCTAGGGGCCCTGGGAAAGCCACCACCCTGTGGCTCTGGGCTGCCTCACAGCAGTAAAATCATAGCACCTCCTCTAAGGCTCTGTGAAGTTGAAATGAGTCAGTGAATGTAAGCACTTGAAGAGAGTGGCAACAGCCCTTGCTGCCCAAAGCACAGGGCTGCCTTCACCCCACGATGCCTGAGACCAGTTGTCCCTGCCCAGGCTGTGGCCCAGCATCTGAAGGGCGAGACCTGGGAGGCCTACATCAAGCAGCAGCCGAGTGCCACCAAGAGGTGAGAGTCGCCAGACAGCGCCCAGGACAGTGCCAGCTGCAGGGCCTGCGGGGCTCAGTGCCTGGGTCTGGGCTGCGAGCAGGCAGGAAGCGCAGCCCTTCAGTTTGGCTCAGACGACCATTTCTCAGAGATGGAGGCAGTTCCAGGCGCTGCCACCAAAAGGGGATGGGGTGTGAACTGGCACCCTGGCCTCCGTAGATCCTCTTCCACACCCACTGGGCAGGGAGTAGGGGACAAGTGGGGAGCAGCAGAGGGTTCCAGAAAGGCTGCTGCACACCATCCTCTCAGTCTCTGCCCTACCCCTTAAGGCAGTATTGGGGGTGGGTCCTGCTGCTGCTGCTGCTGCTTTATTTCAAAGGTGAAGGCCCGACACCAACTTTCAGGGTGCACGTGGGTGCTGGGCACTTCCTTTTCCATGCCTGGAGCCCCCTCCAGTGTCCGCCCACGGGTGGCCATGTCCATTTTTAGCTGGATCACTGTCCTCCTCCTTGAGCACCCAGAGTGAGGCCCTGTGTTGCTATGGAGACATACTGGGAAAGAGGCACATGCTGATTTCACAGAGTCCTCAGAGAGCTTGGGAGGCAGCCAATTAGGCGAGAGAGGACCACGCACTCGGAAAGCCACGGGAGAGCACGCTCTCTGTAGACGCAGGCTCCACGGCTGGGCAGGAAGAGGAGCTGGACCCACGGGGTCACTGTGCCGAAGCTCAGGGGCAGGGACCGGCAGGGAGTGGAGGGCAGCCTGGCAGCCTGAGCAGCCAGCCACCTCTGGCCAGAGGCACACCCTGCTCACTCAGGGCTGCCCAGGGTGGGGGTGGAGCCCGTCTGGCCAGCAGGGCCCCAGGCCAAGCTGCTCGGCCCCTGCAGCCTGAGTGCCAGTCCCTAGCAGCACACAGTGGAACAGGGCACACAGGGAGGAGGGTGGGCCGGCGGCTGCCTGACACTCAAATTAAGCACCAGAAATGGAAGGCTGGAGGCCTGAGTCTGCCCATGTGGGGCAGCAGAGGAGACAGTGGCTCTGAGCTCTCTCTCTGGAGCGTCCTTCCACGTGAGACTTTTGTTGGACAAAAGGAGTCTGAAAGCCATGGTCTTTGCCGGACTGGCTGCGTGCATGTGCACGATGGGGCAGGCTCTTCTGGGTTCCCGGGGAGCAGAGCCAGGCCCCAGTTCCTGCTGATAGGTATTGCGACCACGGCAGGCGGCTGCCCGCTGAGCTGAGGCTTCCTCATCTATGACCAGGGGTGGTCCAGCCTAGGTGTGCTGGGCTGCAGCGAGGATTCTGCAGCCTGGGCACACAGTGGGCATATGGCAAGTGGCAGCTTCTCCAGGAGGGCAGAGGAAGGAATGGTGACTATGGGCTGCACCCTGAGGTGCTGACCTGGAAGCTTGAAAGGAGACCCTGGCAGGGCCGGGCCAGGCGAGGCCCCAAGGCCCAGGGCCTGTAACAGGATCTGCTGCCACCTGCCCCCAACACCATACGTGTTTGTTTGGTAGCAACTCAGAGCTGTTTGCTGCCTGACAACTGGGCAGGTCCCAATCCCAGCGAGACACAAGGTCTCACCCGCTCTGCAGCAGCTCCTCCGCTCCCGCCTGGCACCCTACCCACCATCTTGGTCAACAGCGGATCACAGTGCCACCTACATGTCCCTACTAAAACTTCCTGTCCCTCATCTGCTGCATAAGGAGACCAAGCCCACTTAGACTGTTCCTCATCCCCAGGGGCTAGAGTTCATGGCAGGCGGCCACAGAACATACAAGGGGCACCTGGATGGTTACTGCCATCAACAGGGTCTTAGGGAGGGCGGAACTGTAAGAGAAGACTCTGGAAATTCCCACCTCCATCTGCTCCTTCCCACGCTCCTGGCTCTCAGGGTGGGCGTGCCTGATCCCAGGTCACCCACCTTCTCTGGAAACCTTTCCTGAGAACAACAGCGCTGGCTCACAACCCCCTCGAGGTTGTGCACTGGTACGTTGCCTGACCTGCATCTGTGCAAGGGACAGGGCTTGGGTCGCCTGCCTGGTTTTCTTTTCTCCAGCAGAGAGCAGCTCAACAGGGCCAGGATGAGAAGGTCCCAGGCTCAGAGCTGGGGACACAAGAGCTTCCTGTCCTGGACTGCTGGCTGGGGATGCGGCCCACAAGCCTGGCCTCTGAGGACCATCAGTGTGGGCAGTCTCAGGCCTGGTCTTCAGGTCTGCATGGAGATGCCAAGTGGGAACCTCCCTTTTGGGAGCCAGATTCCCTGTGGGGTGACAATCTGAGTGGGGAGGAAGGGGAAAGGGCCTTGCTGTCTGTTTTCAGAAGAGACACTGAACACTACTGTCCTCTCTGAGTGCCTGAGGATGCGCCCCAGAGAGAAGGGACAGTAGGAAGCCTGGGGGGGCTAAGCCTCTTTTGCCTTCTTGGGGAGCCTATCCTGGCCAGGCCAGCTGCGGCCAGGCAAATTCTCCTCCCATCTCTCCTTAGTATTTATAGAAGCTATTTTGAGAATTTTCTTTCTGAGCTCAAGGCACATTCCTGGGATTCTGTAACAGCCTTTCCAGCTGGGAAGCTGCTCCAGGCTGCTGGGGCTCGGCCCGGGAAGCCAGCCCCAGGTTGGGCAAGGAGGCTGCCCTCGAGCAGGGCCATACCAGGCATCTCAGCATCTCTGTCCTGCCTGCCGGGGCATTTGGTCCTCCTACCACACTCCCCTCTGGGCAGGGTGACTCCCTCACTCCATACCCTGAGCCCCCTGGGCTCTCAAGGAGGCCATGGCTGAGGTCCCTGACCCTGTGGGAATCTGGCCCAGGAGGGGTCTCCTGGCGTAGCACGTGGCTCTGTTGCTATGGCCAAGCCCACACCTTCCCTTCCTCTCTCTGAGTGCTCCAGAGGTGAGCTGTCTGACGTGGCTGTCTTTCTGCAGAGAACAGGGTGACCAGGGCGGGTTATATTCTAAGGGACTCGAGAGCCTGAGAACCCATTCTGTCAGCCACCCTGAGACGGGCTGAGCCTGAAGCCCTTCTGGGCTGGTTTTGGGTTCTGGGTTGGCTGGTGGCCTGCCCACGTGGGAACATGGTCTGCTCAGCGCTGGGTCAGGAGGCTGTAGCTGGGCCCCTGGGTCCTGGGCTCTAGAAGAGAGCCCTCTGTGTTGGGGAAAAGGGAGCCCCATCTCGGAGCCCAAGGCTGAGGCTAAGGTCTCTGTACACAAAACGGATTCTGGAGCTTAGTTTCTAGCGGTGGCTGCTCCTTTTCACATCACCCTTTGCAGTGTCCTTCCCCACCCCTGGCTGGCGCTCTAAACTTTGATGAAGAGCCAAACCTAGAGAATTAAGATGCTACCTGCTAAATAATCTTTCTTTAGATTCCTGGAACTCACAACACCCGGTGACCTTCACATGACACCAGAATGTGTGACCCCTCCCAGCTCTGCGCTGGTGCACCGACTGGCACAATGCCCATCACATGCCCAGATGCATCACTTGTAGGAAGGTGCTGTGTGTCTCAAGATGCACGGGCACCAGCCCAGGGGCTCCAGGGTGACCACCACGTTCCGGGCAGGAATGAGAGGTCTGTCCGATGGTGAGACCTTGCCACACCAGCCTTCCTGCTGCACCTGCCCGCACCCCCTTTCTGGCGCATAACGGTTCTTGCCCTCGCATGTACCTGAGGTCCCCAGACAGCTGTCTCCCTTTTCTCAGGGCGCCAGCCTTGAATAACCCTGGTTCACTTCCCACATCTCATTTGCCGAGTACGGCAGTTGCAAGACTTCTCAGCACCCGCAAATTAAGCCGGTGGTGCCTCTGTTAGCAGTTCGACCTGAAGCTGTGCCAGGCTTCAGACCCCACGCTGCGCACCTCCTCAGCAGAGCAGCCTGAGGCTCCCAGGGGTGCCCGCCAGGTCAGGCTCAGGGTACGAGATGGGGCAGCGTTGGCCCCAGGGTAAGGGAGGTAAGGAGGGATTGTGAACCCTGGCAAGAGCCACGCTGGGGGTCACAGCTTGTACTCCCCCCATGGCAAGTCCACAGAATTCTCCACCACATACTTCTCCGCCAGGGAGTGTGTGGCAGTATTTAGTGGTGAGGGGTGAAAAGGATTCACAGTAGAATCAGCTCACCAAGAGGCCTAATGGCCAAGACACAGCCGTTGAACTTGCTGCCAATGGGAAGAAGTACTGCACACGGCTGGAGCAGTGCAACGTTCACTTCCACAGTCTCCCACTCTTTACACATACACACACACACACACACGCACGTGTGCGTGCATGTGCACATGCACCCATGAACGCACGCATGAACACCACATGAGCACAAGGCGAGACTTCTGGGCCCCTGCACACCTCCCTGCTGCTGCCTTGGCCTCACCAAGGTGAGGGGCAGCAAGACAAGGCCTTGGCCCCCGAGCACAAGTCGGCCTGGCCTTGCGCTGTGCACTCTGGGCCCACGCACAAGGCAGCTACGAGCTGCGGCCTGCACACCACGCCGAGGCCAGGCCTTTCTGGCAGGCTCGGCAATGGCTGGGCCGTTCCTCCGCAATGAGCCTCTGTGGCTAGGATTAGGGCTTCTGCTTCCCTCAGCAAGCCAAAAGCACCTGAACAGGGCCCGAGATCCACATTTCAAAGTGAAGATGAAGGGGCTGGTGAGATGGCTCAGCGGTCTAAAGCTCCTACTTAGGCTGCTTCAACAGAGCAGTCAGGCTCAGGTTGCTGTGGTTCGATCCCCACAACACAAGACAGCCAGTCATGCCTTGTAGGCATTCGGCGCAAAAAAAAAACAAAAAAAACACAACAACAAAAAACAAACAAAAAAAAATAAAGCTCCTACTTGGAACAAGCTTAGCAAAGCCCAGGGACCGCGGTTCAATCCCCAGCACCACATGCCAGCCAGCCCCGCCCCCTGGTGGGCTGAGCTGGCCACACACACACACACAAAAAAAATTAAAAAAAAAAAAAAAAAGTGAAGATGAAAATGATGCTAGCTGCTGTCCCATCAGCTTACAGCACTACTTAGCACAATTCTATCAGCCCTGGGCCCTGCCACCAGAATCACCATTTTATAGCCGAGAACAATGAGCCTAAAGGTTCAGGAACCAGGACAAAGCAGGCGCAGGTGGACTCAAAGGCCCTGCTACAGCGGGGGGGGGGGGGGGGGTAGGGGGTCCCTCCCCAGAGCAAGCTCTAGTACTGGGGTCCCGGAAAACATCCCAGTTAGCTAACCCTAGAAGCAATCCAAGGGCAGCCCACTGAGGCCCCTGCCCTGTCCCTCAGCACCATGCTGGGCATCAGTGCCACCTTGCAGCATGGAGCCACAGACCGCCCCCACCCCCGCAGTGGAGTCTGGCACACACACTGCTGGGCACAAGAGGGGCTCAGGCCCCTCGGCATCAACCTTCGTGCTAACGGTGACAGAAATGCCCAATGTTGACCTCTCCTTCCCCAGTATTCAGCTCCTTTGAGTCCTTCGAGTTCACAATTATCCACACTTACAGAAGCAGGCGCTGGCCCAGTAAGGGAAGTCGTACCCACACCCCTCCATGGCGTGAAGGCAGGCAGCACTGTCTGTCTGTCCCAGGCCTCTTACTCCTTGGGTCCCACTGAAGAGTCTACCTCTCTGGCCTCACAGACTTGGTCCTTTCTGCTGGGACCAGGCAGCACCTGAAAGCCCCACCCGGCCCCGGTCTTCGGCGATCAGGCGTCTCCCTGGAGAGCTTCTGGTAGGGGAGCGAGGGTTCATGTGGCACACTGTGCCAAGGTGTGACGGTGTCCTAAGCCTTCTGAAGGACAAGGCAGGCATGTCACACTGGGAACGGGAGGAAAACAATGAGGGGAGCATGTTCATCACCATGGTGGCATCAAGACAGCCAGATGTGACAGCGGCAGGTGCCCTGCCTTTTCAGGGGGCTGTCATGTGGCCAGGGCTGCCTCAGAAACTGCCACCCAGGGTTATTTCACAAGAGCCGAAGCTTGCGCAGGGTGGCCCCCTGCTATAATGTGGTACCTGAGAAAGACAGACTGTGGGAGACCCTGCAGTTTGCCCCCCAGACGGAAGCATGAAGCCTTGTCCGTCCAGAGCCCGTCTGTGGAAGAGGGGGCAAGTGCAACCCACAAGCACCTCGCTGGCTCGCTCACGCCCGAGGGCTTCAAGCTGTGCCCGGCTCTACAGTGTGTACTCTCCCTAGCCAAGTGGAGGCCTGGGTTGGGACCTTCTATGGTGGCAGTGAAAGGTGGCAGAATGTGCCATCCCAACAGTCCCTTGCAAGAGGACTGTTTTGAGTTCATAACAATCAAAAAGAGGCAGGTCCAAGAGAAGCTCTCGTTCTCCCCCCTTACCTAAAAGCAGCCATGTGCACTTTCCAAGGGAGGATGGAAGTGACAGGCATGGATGATGGCGCTGGGCACCCCTCTGCCCAGGGATGGCCCCCAGGGAAGCCACAGCGTCACCTCCACTTATCTGCCTGCCATGCTCTGCCTCCTCTGGAGACTTGGTCACTTGCTTTGGTCCGTTCCTTCTCTATAACTATCTAATTCTTGGGCGAAGATGCTGTCTGAGTGGGGCTGCATGCTACCATGAGTGCCACTCACAGTCGTGTACGTGCACGTTAACACGCCCAACACTGTCTCTTGGCCATCTCTTTATTGCAGGGGTCGGGCTCAGGAACTCAGAAGAAGAAAGGGAAAGATAGCGCTCCTTCTCTGCTCTGGGGACCACCGCACACCCACAGGTGGTGCTCATTTCCACCTGTGAGCACCAGACTGTCCCACTGTGCTCAGATGACCTCCAAGAGGGCCCTCCCAGGATACCCAGTGACATGTCCATCGGTCCCTGCCTTGGTGCCTGGCATCTTGTCCCTTGTGGGAAGTGACAGGGAAGAAAGGGGCATGGACACAACAGTGGCTGCCTCAGACAAGCCCTTGGGCTCCTTCCAATGGGGTGACTCCCCTGCTGATCTTGGTGGGGACCCAGGTGGGCAGGTAAGGGTCAGATGTCCCCTTTCTTCACCTGCCATCTGCCAGTGAACTGTGGCTTGACTGCCCTAGAGGAGGAGGCTTCAGGTGGCCCGGCAGACTGTCAGGACCTGTGCCTGGTCATGATTTCCATCTGTAGAGAGCACTGTCAGCCTCTCGGCAGTCTCCAGCCAAGAGCCCACAGGACCAGCGCTTGATGGACAATCTGTGGACCCTGCAGCAGTGAGAATGGCCCAGGGTCTGGTAGCAGAGCTTAAGCTGGGCCTAGGGCAGAGCTGGGGCCAGGCTGACATCTCCCATGGTACCCAGGACAAGGCAGGCAGAGAACCTGCACTTGGGCCAGAGTTCCTATTCTCAGAAAGGCCTGCAGCTTGGCTCCTGAAAGCAAAGCCTTCCCCTCCTGTGGGCTTGCGTTAGCTCTGGCACCTCCCAGGCGCACCCTACAGACAACACTGGTAACACTTTACCCTGCTCCATCCAGACCCCAGGGAGTGGGGTTCACCCATGACCTTGAAGGGCCCCAGGGAAGGATTCAAGTGCTTCCAGCCCAGGGCTGCGGGTGCTGGGCTCCCAGGGGAGAGGCAGCCCTTCTTCCCCACTTATCCTCAGGGGCCAGAGTCCTCATGAAGATGCAAGAGGGTGGCAAGGCTAGGATTTTCCTCCGTGCCTTGGCAGTGGCACTGTAGGGAGATGCGGGTTCTCTCTGGGTAAGTTGCCAAGGATTTACCAATTCCAGAGTTCACAGAGCTGAGACAGCTAATTGTCTCTCACTGCCTGCTGACTACTTTTACAATGACGCCCCTGGACATAAATGTCAAGCTGCCTTGGACTGCCTGGTAGTGGGTCCCATCATGTCACACCACGTGAAAAGGTCCTAGGGTCACAGCTATGCTAGGAGTGAAAGTGACTGCTTAGCGATGTCTCACTGGGAGGGAGTGGAGCGCAGGGGCGCGCATGCAGCTCTGCGCCCTTCGCTACTGCGTCGCAGGCGCTCACACACATCTGTGGTCAGAAGGCCACTATCATCCATTCACCAAAGGAGAGGGGTGCTACCTTCCCACTAGCATGGATGCTAAGTGTTTTCCCAAGTCACCAGCGTGCATCAGGGTCAGAGCCAGGATTAGATCCCAGACATCCTGAATCCTGGGCAAGAACATGGAAGACGCTCAGACAGGGGAACACCTGGGATCATTACGCAGTGTCCAGATGTCCTCAGGAAAGTATACTTGGTAAGTATTCCCCAGGCTTGCAATTTGCTCTGTGCATATGTGTGGGAGGCTGGCAGAAACAAAGCATGTGGAAAGGCGACAGGCTGCCCACGCAGGAGCTGACTGGCCCTCTGGTTGCCGGTGACTTTACAAGGGGGCAGGCCTGGCGTTGGCTCGCTCCATTTCATCAAGCTGGCAAGGCACCCCAGGAAGAGAAAAGGGACCATTTCAGTAACATCTGCAGGGAGCACTCTCCACAGCCTTTGGTTGCCATGGAAACCCACCCTTGGAAACTGCTTCAATTTCGGGAAAATAGCTACAAACAATAATAAGCATAAATGAAAAATGGTACACTATTAATTCAAAGCTGTACTTGTTATTGGATTTTCTAGGGTTTTTAGGGCCCAGGCTGCGGACTCATAACCGTGCACACAGAGGCAGGCAGACAGCTCTGCCTGGCTGAGGGCCTGATGGCCGCCCACAGCCTCCCTTCCTCCACTCTTTATCAAGTTTCTGGACGTGACCTGTGGTGAGGCATCTGTCAGAGAAGCTAATATCTGAACTCTGGGAGCAAAGAGGATGTGCCTTGTAGAAACAAAGACACCCCCCCGCCCCCCATAAAACAAACAAACAAAATAGCCCGCACAGTTACTGAACCAAACGGGAGAAAGCATGGTGGATGGGAGTCCATGCCATGGGCATGTGCGCCAGGGCTGGGCTTCACGCAGGCCTAAGTCAAATTCCGGAAAAAGCCAGGCAGCCCCCTTCTATGCCATATTCAAGGGCACCAGAAGGGGCTAGAAAGGCCTTCTCCCTGTGAAGACGACGTGGTCCAGGCCCCCTCCCAAGTGAGGTTTTCATTCTCTCAGCAAAAGCCACACCAGACAATCCCTGGGCATGCACAAGATATGCTAAGAGTCATCACCTGAAAGCCAACACGTGTGGCACTACTTGGGGACACACTGACCACCTTTACCCAGCTGGAGCCACGCTCCAGATCCGTTCCGAGTTCTCCATGCAGCACATGTCAGGGATCCCCACATGCTACTCTCAGAGCACTCTGGAACCCACATGGACAGGGAGTGCCAGTGTCAGGCCTGACCCCTTGTAAAGTCACCGGCAACCAAGGGAAGACTTGCTAACCACGGGCTCCTACGTGACCCTTCAAAAATCTGAGGGCATGTTTCAGATTAGGGCATCTGTCTAGGTACCTGCCCTCTGGGAGCAGGAAGGCAGGGGAAGCTGGTTCCCTCTTGGGCCAACCACACCACCCGTCAGAGCAGGGACTCAGTGGTGGTTCCTGGACCAGAGGCCCTGCCAGGTGGATTAGAACAGCCGAAGCTTACAGCGGGTGGCTTGCATGCACGTGGGCACCCAGGCGGTGTGCGGCAAGGCTGGGCCAGCAGCCCCAGAGCCCTGCTTCACAGTCCCTATGCTTCTCCTAGGTGGGCCACAATGCTCCAAGCACTGGGGCTGTGGGACCTTTCACCACACTGGGACATTCCTCAGTGTGTGCTCGCATCAGGCCTGATGTGACAGTCCACGCCAGGGACCCCCAAAACTCAAAGAGACAGAAAGCCCCCCTTGGAATGGAGAAGACAGCCTAATGACCAAGGAAAAGGTCCTAGGGACCCCAGAGGGATTTGTGAGTAACAAGAAATCTCTTTGGGACTTAAGACAAAAAGGAAGTCCCACAAAAGATACCAACCGACCCTCCTAGCCTTTTTTTTTTTTTATCAGTGCAGACACAGAGAGCAGTCTCTCCTACTAGGGCCAGAGGAAGCCACCCCATCTCCCTCCTCACCAGGGGCAGAGAGCAGGGAAGACTGGTGGCAAGAGACAGGCCCATGGCAGGGCCGGCAGAGGGGCGGGGCTGACTCACCAGGCTGTGCATGATGCGGGCGCCGTCCGGGTTCACCGTGAGTGCCTCCTGGTACAGCTGCCTGGCTTCCTCCAGGCTGCCCTTCCCCTCGGCCAGCCGGCCCCGCATGTAGAGCACAGAGTGAGAGGTGGGGAAGAGGCCAGCTGCCTCCTGGATGCAGAAGCCCGCCTCCTTCAGGTGTCTCTGCTCCATGAACAGCTCGGCTGTGGAAGCAGAGGAAGGGCAGAGGTGAGGAGGGGCCTGGGGCAGGGCACTGGGCACGCTTGCTGTGGGGCATTGGGCAACTGAAGAAGCAGACCCTGGTGCTCCCTGGGGCGGGCACCAAGCTGAGGACTCCACACAGACTGCTGTCAACAATGCTCCCCAAACCTTGGAGGACAAGTGCTGTCAACCCTGCTTTAGAGATGAGGGAGTTAGGCAGAGGTGATGGCACTTGCCCAGGGCCCCACGGAAAATAAGTGATGAAGACGGTCTGTGTGGGACAATGACTTCAGAGCCTGAAAGTGTGACATCGACGGGGTCCCCTGGGGCTGAGCACTTGCTCTGGGCGTCCCGATTTCTGCTTCAGACCCTTCACCCCATTTGCTCATGGTGTGTCCGGCAGGTCTGGTAGTGTGCAGCTGTGTGGGAGGCCTCAGGCTGGAGGCAGGAGGGGGCTTGCAGGGCTGGGTCCTGCTCAGGCTGAGGAGGGCTCTGCTCAGAGCCCTGCAGGGAGTCCAGTCTGCCCGCCAAAGATCAGAGTGGGAGGAGAAGGGAGAAAGGAGAGGCTGAGGCACCTGCTGAAGAACGCCACAAAGCTCAGACCAAGTGGCGCTGGCAACAGCACCAGAGCTTCCATCTGGATGTATGGAGCAGGCGTCAAGCCAAGCCCTGATTTCGCAGTGCTTTCTCTAGTCACTCCCGTAAGACCCCTGCTGGCACTGTTGTGGTCTCTACTCGGGCAGAGAAGCAGACACAAAGGGGCCCTCGCTCCACTCCCACTGCAGGCAAAGGTGATGCCAAGGCTGACCTCCCCTAAAGAAGATTCTGGCCACCTTGGAGGACCAGGTCTGCCCACCAGACCCATAGCAAGCAGGCGCCTTCCGCAGCCCAGGAAGAGCCAGAACCACAGGCTTCAGTATCTGGGGCACAGCGCCTGCCCATGGCAGGTACTCTTAGAAAGGCTGCCCACTCTGCCCTCCTGCCAAGCAGGCCCTGGGCTCAGCTGCCCAGCCCCAGGGCTGGTGCCCACATGAAGTCACAGAAGGACGGCAGCACAGACAGGAGTGCAGCCGACAGCGAGTCAGGTGGGGTATGCCAAAAGCCCTCCCATCAGGGCGGAGAGCTGATCGCGTCTGGGTGGGGCATCTAACAGGCACCCCCTCGAGGAACCCCTGGGAAGTGGTGGACAAACCAGGCCCAGGCACCCCTCTGCCTGTCCCAATCAGCAACAGAAAGGAGACCAAGTAAGGCCTCACTGCAGCACCTCAGGTCAAGCCAAAACCCAACAAGGTGAGAGAAGGCTCTGGGCACTGGCCCACTTTTCTTCATGAGAGAAGAGCACTTGGAGAATTGGGCTCCCAGGCTATGGGGGCAGGGCAGGGTGGGGGCACACTCTTGTCCCCGGGGACAGGCTGACAAGGACACTGCCAAGGTGGACAGCATAATCAGCAGAGGCTGCAAGGTGGGTTTTGAGTCCAGGGCCTTACTATGGGCCGGTGCAGGATTTGCAGATTTAGCTCTTTCTGCCTCAGGTTTCCTCTTCTGTTCTGCTGTTGAGCAGCCGCTAGGGGCTCTGAATAGGCTGCCTTGGTCAATGAGCATCTGCCCAGGGGAGGAAGAGCAGGAATGGGGTGGGGCGTAAGCCACTGAAGCACTTAAGGCCAGGGCAGTGAAGTGCCAGGTGCCAACTTGGGGTGCTAAGGCACTCAAGGGGTTGGGTCTGTGTGGTCAGGGAGGCTTTCTAGAGAAGGCAGCATCTGCACCAGCACAGAAGAGATGGGGACCACTGTGGCAGACTCCTCAGGGTCACAGGAGGAGGTGTGGGAGGCAGGAGTCTGTGGCTCATCAGTGTTGGGGGGCTGGATTCTCCTTGGGTGGGAGCTCGGTGTGGCTGGGGCCCAGGGCTCAGGCTCTCGGTGCAGGACCTCAGGCTGGGCCCACTTGGCCACATCATGGCTCATTCCGCTGCGCACTTGCTGTCCTGTCCTTGGGACCTCAGGTCTGTCCCTGGTCGCCCCCTTGATGACGCCTTGTGCATCCACACCAACAGATTCCATCAGAGGAGAGCCAGGGCCTGGGCCACACCAGGGAGGCCAGACACCAGGGAGGTGCCCACAGGACAGGGAAGGGCCGCTCCAGGCAATGGCGCTGCCACCTCCTAGGCAGGAAGCCAGAGTACACGGAGCAGAGCCCGGGACAAGAGGTCTCCGAGAATTCTGGCCACACTACGCATAGCTCCACAGGTCCAGCGTCCAGCCTGGAGCCTTGAACTTCGAACAGCTCCATAGGTCTGGGGCCTGAGGTGTACCCCATCTCCTGGCCGTGGTGCCCCCTGGGCAGGCACCGCAGCTCTACGTACTGTCTTACCAAACATGGTGTGCACAGTTAGTCAGTTAGGCTGCAGCAGTAGCCCACAGCACCTGCCCACCGCTGCCAGACCCTCCCTTGCTAGCCTGGCACCTGGCCCAGGGCTGCCCACACCCATCCTGGCCTCCCCATCCATGGCTGGACGAGCACTGCTGCCCTGAAGGTTTCCCTGTCCGTCACCTCACTGACAGGGCTTGGTGCACCTGGGGCCAGAGGCCCTCCTGTCCTATCCCTTGGCTCCTGGCCTTCAGTCTGCCCTCCTTTCTCTCTGGGCCCCGTCCTCCTGGCCTGCCCCTCAGCCTCCTCTCTTGCCTGCCCTGTCTGGTTAGTTTTCTTCCTTTCAGCTCTGTCCCCACCCCCTCTTCCCTCTGCTCTCTCTCCACAGGCTACAAATGGAAAACATCTGCTCCCTGGAGCTTTGCACGAGTCCCTTTTATTGCTTTTCGGGAGGCAGCCTGGTCTAACCTTGCACCCAGAGATGGTCCCCGTCTTCCTGCAGTTCTTGCTGGAGCCCAAGCTCTCTGCCCCCCCCCTCCCCAGACAGATGGGCCTCACCCAGGCTGAGGGTTCAGGGCCACTTTCTGGCGCCTCCTCAGGCGAGGAGTGTTTTTTCCAGACCTTGGAAAAGGGAAGGTAAAAAGAGAGGGAACCATGTGGACTCAGAGAGCTCAAGATGCCCAGGGCAGGAGGGAAACACAGAAGGCCCTAAAAGGAATCAGCCTTGGCTCAGCTTGTGCTCCAGGGTGAGCACTTTCAGTGACCCCCAAAGGAAATAAGGAAACAAGCATCACCTGCTCTCACAACTGGGGTTGACCAGCAGGACGTACACCACCCCACCATCCTGAATAAAGGAACCTGAGGGAGGAAGGAATGGGAGAGACAGGGGTGGGGCGGTGGTGGAGGGTTGGGGGGCTGGTGGCCAATGGGCAGGCAGAAGAAAGGCGAGGAGAGTCACAAGAGAAGGTGGAGGCTGACATCAGCCCTTCCTTTCAGCCTTGGGGAAGAGAGTGGGAAGGGGTGGGGGCTGGGCCTCGGGGTCCAGCGTGGCTTCCTGCAGACAGGAGACTGGGAGGCTGGGAAGCAGTCAGAACAGGGTAAGAGGAGCGTGTGGGAAGGACTGAAGGCCAGAGTTGAGGGAAGGCAGGTAGCAACAGAGAGCGAAAGGGGAAGGAGGGCCTGCTTCTCCCTCAACCAGAATTTTGTGATAAACACCAGCTTTGCTCCAGCTGCCCCTGTGCGGTGCCCATGGCTGGGCAGTTCACACCTGTAGGCCAGGCACTAGAGAACCATGGTGCCACGGTCCAGACAGCATGAAGCTGGGTTACTGGGACTCAGGCCTGCTTCCCCAGGCAGAGGACGCCCCCAGCTGCTCCTGCAGTCTGTGCCCCCCCTGCTGGTACGGCCAGGTCAGGAGTACACGAGAGCATTCTTGCCCCTGTATGGAGCCTCTCTGGACCCTGGAGCACTGCGGGGCTTGGTGCTGCCCCCACGTCACGGCCCAGAGGTTTGGGTGAGACACAGCTGGGAGCAGAGGGGAGGGGGGCGGAGGTGACTCTTCCCAGCCAGGGTGGCTCCAGGATGGAAGCTTTTGCCAAAACAGACTGGGCTGCAATTTTATCTTGCACCAAACCAGGAGGATTGGCTCATTCCAGGATGATGATGGGATTTCTTTCCCTTCCTATAAATTCGTGGCAGCTGGTGTGGCTGTGAGTGGGGATGAGCTGGGGACTCTGAGGACAGCGATTAGCCTGCGATGGGGGCAGTGTAGGGAGCACTCACAGCCTTGCTCACCTGGCCCTGGCTGCCCGCTACCAGCAGGTGCTCAGGCAAAGCTAGCGCTGGTGGCAACCCATGGGGGGCGGCTTGCTCGAGTGCCCACAATGCCCAGCCACTGTCTCTTCTTTGGAATTTTTTTTTCTGGCATGACTGTGAAACCCAAGGCTTTGTACAAGGCTAGGAAACCACTTTAGCACCGAGCTACCACAGCTCCCTTTCAATTTTGAACATGGGAGCTGTGGTAGCTCTGCTAAGTTGTCCGGGCTTAGAATCCTCCTGCATCTGCTTCCTGAGTGCCTGGGATTTCAGACATGTGCCACCAAGCCCATGGACCCTTTGATTTTTGAGTGCAGCAATAATAAGCTGGGTGTGGTACTGCACACCTACGATCCCAGCACTCAGGAGGCTGAGGCAGGAGCATCATCATGAGTTTGAGGCCAGCCTGGGCTACACAGAGAGTTCAAGGGCAGCCTGAACTTTACAGTGAGACCCTGTCTTTAAAAAAAAAAAAAAAAAAAAAAAGGTATACGGACACCCAGAATAACGGCATCTGCCAGAGTCCTTTGCAGTGAGGGGTAATAAATAACGGAGCTCTGGTCAATGGTTCCTTAGGGGAAAGACGTGAGTAAATTCCCAGATATGTCCTTATCGGGAGGAGTGCTTCCCCCTCCCCATCTGTCTTACACCCTAGAATGTGAATGCAGCAGAGAGCCATCCTGGATCACGTGGGTAAGAGCAGCACCAGAGGAATGGCAAGGCTGTCCTCCCAATCGAGGCTGAGAGGCCCAAGCTGTTACATGAGGAAATGAGCAAGCAAGCCATGCAGGCCCTGCACATCTGGGTCAGCTACCCGCACACAGACCACCTCCCACACCCCTCCCCCAGCCCACACCCTGCCCAGTGTCCAGGGCACTCACTGGAGTGACAGCCAGGACCAAGAGGGGGAGGGGCCCACAGAAGCAGCGCAGTCTAATAAGGATGGGTGCAGGAAAGCCTTTCACCTGGCCGCAGCACAGGCCGGCACCCATCCAAGCAGAAGCGCACACAGGGCAGGGCGTGGCCCTGGTAGTGAACACGGCAGTTGGTGGAACCAAAGGCCTTGGGAGCTGGAGAGGCTGTGTGGGAGCGACTTCCCATCCCAAGCACACGCATGGGGCCGGCGCTTCCTTCTGCCCCGGAGAATCCATATGGCTCCACAGCCTGGGAGATCCTGGCCTCAGAGGAAGCTCATTTACCATCCTCTGGATTCTCCACTATTCTTCCTCCTCCTTAGGAGCACAGCCGAGGAGCCCACCCCCACCTCCCTGGCATCCTGAGGGACCCACGATGCTAAGTGGGGCAATATTTGCATTATGAAAACGCTTCCAGGTCTAGCCTTTCTGTGGATCCTGGTCAAAAATTTTTTCCATATTCAGAACCTACAATGGGGTGCGGGGGCGCGCTGCATACTAATACGGCCGTATGTGCGGAACACAAGAAGGCAGGCTCAGAGCTGAGCTCACCAGCACCTCTACAGCCTATGCCACCACCTACTTTCTCCTCTAGCTCCCGGGGACTGCAGCCCCTCCCCTGTGCTGGGAAGGGAGCAAGAGGGAGAGCCAGACAAAGGCGAGGCCAGTGCCCTGGGCCGCTCAGCTTCTAGGTGAGTGGCCCTTCAGCTTCCGCTCCATCCTCAACAGCTCTGGCCCCGACTTCCTCTCTTTTTACTCTGATCTACCTCCTGCACCATCGTCCAGCTATCCAGCACTGCGGCAAGCCCCTCCTCAGCTGAGCACTAGGATGCTAGACCTGCGCTGCCACGTGGCCTCTGTCTCTGCCCCCACCCCACCAGCCAAGCACCCCCAGGGTGTACCTGCCACACTGGCAGCTCTGCATGGCAGCACACTCTGGGTGAGAGCCAGTGAAGTGGGGGCTTTCTGACACGGGCCTCTGGGGGGCGGGGTGCCTGCTGGGGATCGCCACCTGGATACCAGTCACTGTGCACTATCCTGACCACAACCCTGTCCAGCAGTGCTTGCTGCCAGGAACTTCTGCCAGGCAGGGAGGCTGGCACTCTGCACTGGGCTGAGAAGGACGCCTAGGGCCAGATGTCCTAGGTGACTGCTTGAGGCAAGCAAGGAAGAACAGCTGGAACCAGAACCCATGCCATATTCCTGGCCTCACCAGTGCCCCCTACACCCTCCCTACCCCGTCCCAGGACAGCCTGGTGGGCGTGGGCAGGCACTCACCGGCCTGGAGCCAGATCTGTTCCAGCGTGGTCCACAGCTGCGTGGGGCCCTGCTTCAGGACCGATGTGGGCATGGTCAGTTCTGACATGGCCTCCTCCAGCCGAGAGGCCGCGATGGACGATGCCCGGCGAGAGCCTGTAGAACAAGATCTGGGGCTGAGCGGTGGGGTCTGTATGCCAGCCCGGCGAGGACAGGCAGGGCGGCAGGGGCCAGCAGCTCACAGACCTACCACCCACCCTTCCCACAGCGGCAGAGGAAGTTCCTGGGGCAAGCAGGCAGAAATACCACGGGAACATATCCCTGCGGGAAACAGCTATGTTCAACTCCTCCCTAGAATCCTGAAAACAGAAATTACCTGAGCAGTAATGATAGGGATCATTAAAACTAAGCACAGGCATACCCATCAATCACCCAAGACCCTGCGGCCATATCAGTAACGCTGCACACAGGCAGTGCACCCATGCCACGGAGGGATGCTCACTCTACACGGACGGGCGCCAACCAGCAAGTTACAAAGGGAAGTGATTGTGTTTTCATCAAAAATGAGTGTGGGCACACATGGAAAAAAAGTCCCAAGTGCCACTTATTAAGGGTCTGGGTGGTGAAATTCCCCTTCTCCATTTGTTGTTCTTTTTCTATTTTCTGTTTTCACAAGTGCACATTAGCTGTGTGTGCAAAGGGCCTTCGTGAGGCCCTGAAGAGCAGCTGGGCAGTGGCTCCAAAGTGGGGGCTTCCTGACACTCTGAAGGGTGGCGTGGGCCCTCACTCAGGACACACAAGCCACTGACAGCTGTGATTCCCACACAGGTGAAATGTGAGCACCTGTTCTCCTGTCCTCAGAGGCAGTAAGGTTCTAATAACCTCAGGCGACCTCAGGGCAAACCACAGAGGTCTTCATTTTAGAGATATGGGAGACGCGTGTACTCGGAGTCCTCAGAACCACGCACAACCCTCCTCTCTAATGGCATGGGGCTGCCCCGCCTGACCACTCCCCGCTTGGAGACAGCAGCTTCACACGCAGCCCAGACCCCTGGGATGGGACGGAGGGTCAGCGGCCAGGGTGGCTGCTGCAGGCAGCTCGCTCACTTGCAGCCTGGCTCGGGCCCACAGAAGCAAGAAGTGAGCAGCTCCGCCAAGCAAGCTCCCCTCACACTTTCGCTCCCGTGACTAACTCTCTGTGTCTCTGAGGAAGGTGTTTTGCTTTAATCAGGTCCTCAGCTTAAACGCGCAAGCGTGCAGTTCCTGGATTCATTTGAATCGCACAAGCCTTGGGCTTCAGTACAGATTTTCCAGAGGAGTCTGCTTTGAGCTCAGCACTGCAGAGAGCTTGGCCTATTCCTGTTTGACTCATCCCTGCGGCATTAGGGCAATGATTCTGCTGCAGCGCACCCTTCTACCTGGTCTCCTCTCCCCCTTACTCATTCTGGCTGCGCACCATCTGCCCTGGTGCCACCTGCTAGGTGTCTGAGGGCAGCACTCTGGCAGTGGTGGCAGGGAGGAGGAGGGAGTTTGACCCGGCTGGGCAGATGCCACCCGCCACGTGTGTCTGCCTAGTTACAGACGGCGAGTGGAAGGCCCACGAGAGCAGTGGCCTGCAGGTGCATTCTCACCTGAGTCAGCGTCATGGGCGTCAGGCAGGGTCAGGTGCACGCCACTTTGTTTCTTCATGGTGAGCCCCTCACCCAAGCTGCTATCTTTCTCCAGGCCTCTGGAAGGCAAGGGAGGGCAGGGCTGGTAAGAGTGGACTGACAGAGAATGAGGAACCCTCATTCCTGAAGGTCCTAGAGCCAAGAGCCTGGTCAGAGTCAGGACAACCGGGACGGGCCAAGACCACCAGAGAAGCAGGGTGGATCAGCACAGCCCCACAGCACTCCAGGTCTGGAGCAGAGCTGTGCACATGGCATCTTCCTTCCCTGAGACCAGGTCAGGGAGATGCTGCCTCAGGCCATTTGCGAGGCTTCTGTGCTCTCTCAAAGTCCAGCACAGTGCGGAAGAGCAGAAGAGCGTGGGGACTGAGCCAGTTTCCAGGGAAAGCCTGGTATTTGCAGGGTACCAGAAGTGCCCCAGCCCACCCAGGGAAGGCATGCCATTCCCTGCCACAGGACCCCCCACCTCCAGCTGCCATCTCTGGAGGGGCCCTGGGTGGCAGATTAACAAGCATAGTGATCTTCCCTTGCTTTCCATCTAATTCTGCGGGTCCCTGCAGCTCCACACTCCATTCTCAGAGCGGAGGAGGAGGGGTGGGGGCAGGAAGGCACCACTGGCTCTGGACGGCAGCAGCGTTGTCGCTCTTTCCAGGGACATACAGCCCCAGCCAGCCCTGTCCCCCTGCCAAGGGTGCCTGCTGCTCCTGACCTGCACATCACTTAGAGAAGGGGCTCGAGAGAAGGAGCCGTGCTTGGGCCAGGAGCTGCTTTCCCTTCTATGGGGGCCAAGACCATAGTGCTGCAAATAATGCGAGGGCCCACGGTGTCTCTGCCACTCCAAGTCAGGGTCATGCTGTCCCCAACAAGCACCTGTGGTTGCACAGCTACATTTGGAGGCATCAGGAAACCACACACCAAGGCAGCGGCTTGGGCAGCCTCCCCTCCCCTCCTCCCCCGCTTCTCCTCCTCCTAGAAGGCACCGGGTGAAGAGCAAGGAGACACAGGCCAAAGTCACGGCACCCACCCTTCTTGGCTGTGTCACCTTCACAACACTACTTGACCTTTTTCATGACCTCTCTCTCCTGAAAACAAGCACAACAATCTCCATCTCCCAAGGCTGTCATAAAACTCGAGCGCACAGGCAGGGCTGGCACAGCGTCACCTTCCTGTCAGGCACTTGTCCCACAGAGCGCTCCCATCTTCGGTCTTCTCTGCCATCCCTTCAAGGGGCCTCTCCCAGGGTTCTAGAAGAGTCCATCTTGGGGACTGTTTGCCCCACAGTTCTAGGTCTATGCACAGCATGACCAAAAAACCCAAACAGTGAGAGGAGACATTCCAAGCTGAGCAAATAGCAAAGACCCGTATGGCTGGACTAACCCAAAGCAGAGGAGGCTGGTTGGTGGGTGAGCCAGTGAAGGAGGGGCCTGGGAGGTGATGGGCATTGGTCAGCTGTGTGGTCTCTGCAGAGGAGAGGTATGGGGGATGCCAGGGACTCTGGTGAGGGGGTGGTGGGCTGGCTGGGTTGGGGGGGTAGGCCAGACCCTGGGGCTGTGGATTCTGGGCCTGATTCCAGGTCACGCCCAATTAGGTTATAAGCCCCGGCTTCTGATCTGCAGTCCCAGCGACAGAGCAGACACTTCCTTGTCTTCAGGGAAGGCCAGGAGGTTGCTACATCCAGCTTCGGGGGCAGGCTACTGGCTTGGCTGAATGCTGCCCTGCCTGCCCTGGAGCTCCTGGGAGAGGCTCACAGGGCCTTCTGGGTGGGTGATGCTCCATCAGGCTCTCAGGTCAGAGACCGTGTGTGTGAGGGTGAAGCAAAACCTCCACCAGCCCCAGCCCCTGGGAGAAGACCCCGCAGCCTTTGGCCGGGAGGCAGGCACAGGTCGGACAGAGTGCAGCCCAGGCTGTGGGCCCAAGTGGCCCCAGCAAGACTGGCCCCCTGATGGCAGTCAAGCGGCCATCCCGAAGAGGGCGCAGACGAGGAGCGGCTGGCCCCGGGCAGGTTCTCTGAACGAGGGTCTTCTTATACCAGATGGGGTCTGCTCTTGTATCTGCTTCCTCCCCTCTCTTTTCTGAAAAGCCCCCACCCTCGGCCTCCTCCTGGCACCTCCCACCGCTGCTCCCGCTCTGCCCTGGACTCTGCTGGCCCCAAGGCCATGGAGCGAAGGCTGGCCCCACCCTTGATTTCCCTGGGACACAATCCTCTGTAAGTTCCAGCAGGACAGATTCCCTCTGGGCAGTCTGGAGGCCTTCTGCCCCCATCCCCCGCCCCATGCAGATACCCCCTTGAGGGGGGATGCCACAGCCAGCTGTCCTTGAGAAAGGGAGAGTGGGCCCAGGGGTCCAGGAAGAGCCGCTGGGGATGACCTGTCCCTGTCCCTCTGGGCTGCAGAGGCTGAGGCCTGACGCTGAATGGGCTTGGTCTTTCTGCAGATTCAGCCAAAACACATGCACCCTGCTCTGTGGGACCCTCCTCCACCTCCTTCTCCAGCCTCCAGACAGAGCCAGGAAAGAAGTGACAGAGGGGACCAGGAGGCCCAGGTTCCGGTCCCCGCACTACCACGCCACTTACCAGGCAACCCTGAGTCAGTTTCCTTTCTGGGCTGATAATAAAATTGGTAACACACAGGATATGAGTGGCCGATTCGCCAGACAGTGGTGAGCCCAGGACCTGGCTCAGTGTTCGTGGTGGTCTCTACCCTTGGAACACCCTGAGCTTCGGTTTCCTACGCACGTCCTGGAGGACTGGCAAGAAGTTAGCACTGGATTACATGAACGCCAAGTCCCGTCCTCTCCTCCAGATGTCCTCCCTGTCCCTATCTTGCCAGGTGCTGTGGTCACTCAGCTGAGGACTGCTACCCTGGCAACTACAGCCCGCAGACCTTGTCCCCACCCTTGGCAAACCCCGGGACAACGCCAGCCACTCACCCGAGCTGGGAGAAGCTGTACAGGGTCTGCCACAGCTGCAGCATTTGTCTGCAAGTCACGAGGGCTTCCTCTGGGCCTTTCAGGACCTGCTCCAGCTTCACCTTGGTGAACAAGAGGCTGCAGAGAGACGGCAGCCGTCAGCAGCCCAGTGAGGCCTCCCCTGCTGAATCTGTGAGGGATTCTGTCCACCCCGGCACACATGGAAGGCAGAGGGCTGTGGCAGCCTCTACCTGCTTCTCTTTCTGCGCTCGGTTCCTCCTGTCTCCACACTCCTCTGCAGGTATCAGTGCCTGTCCTGTGAATGCCACTGTCCCCGATCGTGTGCCATCCTGCCCACCCTCTCAGGCACTCAGGTGTGATTCCCACTTGGTGCTGCCTCCCCACTCTGGCTAAGCGGGCCCTGGGCTGTGGACACACACAGTGCTTTGCACTTCTGGGCCCAAGACAGGGCCTGGTAGGGTGCACCCAGAACAGTCTTTCAGTCGAGGAGGTTATGCGGAGCACCAACACGAAGGCCATTGCAGGAGCACAATTCCGCTTCCTGCCTGGCCAGCACCCTGCTGGTGCGAACCAGCACTAGATGGAGCCGCGGATGTTGTTGGCTGACCCCAAACTCACTCAGATGGTCCTGTTACACTTTATTAAAGTTCTCCCTCTTTGAATTTCTGAAGATGGTAGTCAGCTCCCTTGCATAAAAGGATTAAAGTGTCATGAAACTCTGTTTAATTCCCACATAGGTGCAGCTGCTGTACCACAACAGTAGCTTCAGACCTTCAACTTGAAATGTCAGGACTGGTGTAGGTTGTGGGTGTAGGTGGGTGGCAGGCAGCGCCATGGCGGGGGAGCCAGGGGTCAGTGAGGAGAGCCGGCGCCACATCAGAATAACCGCTCAGATGACTGGGTGGGGAGGGGGCTGGAGCCCCTGCCAGGGCAGATGCTAGCTAGCCCTCTGGGTGTTGGACAGGCCCAGCAGTGCTGCAGGGGGGCCTGCTACTGCTACGTCCCTCCTCCCTGGGGGGAGATACTGTGCCGTTTCCACTGCCAGCACGGCAAGGGGCACTGACATGCAGCGGCTGCCCACACGCCCGGGGAGAACACGGCCTGTGCTGGCCACGGCTGCCTCCTGTGGGCGGGCAGTCGGCAGTGAGGCGCTCATGTGCGCAGCACTGCCACTGGGCGCATGGATTTGGTGGCCAGGCCCTGAGCTTGGTCACCGCCTGTGCGGAAGTACAGGCCTGTGTGTGGGACGTGCGCAGAGGCCCCGCCCCAAATCTCCTGCCGGCTCCTCAGGTGGGGCTGGGCCTGCAGCTTTTCCTCTGCGTGTGTCTCTTCCCTCCTGCTCCTAGGCTGTGATTTGCTGGCAGAGAACAACAGCTCCCACACACAGCTTCTGCCCTCTATTTCCACCCCTCCTGAGTCTGACTTTCTTACTTATATATGTATGTATGTATGTATGTATGTATGTATGTATGTACTGGGAACTGAACTCGGAATCTTGTACTTGCCAGGCAGGTGCTACGCCGCTGAGCTGTATCCCCATCTCCTAAGCCTGGCTTTAAACCCACCCTCCCCTACTCTTCTACACCTTCATGAACACTGACCCATGACCAACAGCTGGCCTCGGAGGCCCCGGGGGCAGAAAGCGGGACCCCCAGCAGCTGCGCAGGCCCCAGTGGGAGCTGCTGGGGAGCACTGGCTCTCAGCCCCAGTGTCTCTGCCCGGATTCCTGACAGGTCCAGTGCTCCCGGTGTCAGGTGTCTCTGCTTTCAGGAATATGAAGGAGAAGGGACAATTACTGTCTTCAAGGTAACAATTAGAGTGCTATAAATGTCAAGTTGCCCAGAGAATCAAGTGCTGTATTTTTGGATCAGGTGCAGCACTAGGAAAGAAGAGACGGGGTCTCACTACAGCTGGCCTGCAGTGAGGAGGGCGGGTGGGCTGTAGGGGACACTGCAGGTGGGTGAGGTCAGAGTAGAGGTGTTGGTGAGGCCAGGAAGCCCAGACCAAGGGCAGCACAGCCCCTGGGCCACTGCTGCTAGTCCAGCCAGGGTGGCAGGCACAGTCCACTGGGCAGAGTAGCACATTCCCACTGCTGCCCCAGAATGCCAGGATGGCCCTTGGCGGAGCTGAGCTG